GACTGGAACACCAAAAATAGTCTTCATAAGTGGTATTGATGAAGTATTAACAGTTGAAGGAACTGACACAACAAAAGTAACAATCTTAGATGTTGATGAAGCAACATTCACCATGGAAGATAATGGAACAAAATGTGTAGTGAACTTGTGAGGACCCTTGGGGCTCTTACTATTATTATCATTAAAGTAAAAATAACGTGATAATTCTTTCATAACTATTTAAGAAATTTGAGCAAGGAATTTGTGACCATCCATAGGACCCTTCACCTTTAGGGACACGACAACACCCATGATTCACTTAATAAGAAAATGCATGGTATGATCATCAATATGGACCATATGATTAGAACACTTTAGGTTTCATATAGGGGAAACAAACTTTCTAGTTTTCCTAACTGAAACATAATCAACACAATCAATCAAGACTTAAAATTTATTCTCAATTAGAGGACTTTTTACCTCCTCTTAAGGTAATGTAGGAACTCAATATTTGTTTCCATGCTTGCTTTTGGGCCCTTAATATTCCTTTCCTAGCTTTTCGAGCACTTTTTCCCAATTTAGGAGTAGAAGGGATATTAGGGGGACTTGGAAAAAATTTGGAAGAGACAGTGCTTTTGGGCCCTTAATATTCCTTTCCTAGCTTTTTGAGCACTTTTTTCCCAATTTAGGAGTAGAAGGGATGTTAGGGGGACTTGGAAAAAATTTGGTAGAGACAACTTCATAGGCAATAACCAACAATGCATTATAAAATATGGTAGAGGGCGAATCATCATATCCCTGATGAAGGGGCTACAAAATGATATCAAATGATATATTATAGGAATTCTAGGGCTCAAATGGTTTGTAAAATAGGAAAGGAATTATATATGTTTTAAATGAACAAGGTGACATACCTAGTGCACACATGTCACACCTAATAAACACAACAAGAAAGCACACATAAAATATGTGGTTGGACACATGCCAACATAGAACAATAACCACACATATGAAAATTTCTAGCAATACCCCACCCTAAACTAAATAAGCATCAACCAATGTGTCTTATCAGAACACCTAAAAATGTGTGCAAAGGGCATTCTTATATGATTTTGATAATGTCACAACATCTATTCCCATCTTAAGGTTCTAGATAAACTAATTTTTTCACCTTGATTTTGATCCTATAATTTTAAAAGTACACTATTTAAAAAGCATAGATATAATTATAACTTGAAATTTAATTCTATAGAGAAGATATGACCATATTCATGGTTTAAATAAACAAGGTAATATACCATAATTTATTTATATGCTTAAAACAATCATATAAACTTTTGTTTGTAATACAATAATTTGATTTGCCTAACAAGACAAGCTCATGAATAATGATCATAAATGCATTAAAATCATAGATCTCACATAAATAAGGAATGACATCATTGAAGTGCTGACAATCTTAAAACTACAAACCAATGTTATATAAGTGCACTCAAATAACTGGTAATTAGAAATACAATACTTACGTAAGGGACTTAAAGTATATGTTTAAAAATCAATCTTAAGTTTATGATTCACTTGACATATCACTTGCAAAATTAACACTGAAAGTGTTGATACAATAGGTAATGTAAATATTCAAACAATATCTAAAGTCTAAAGATAATATTCAACCACCTAATGAATCTCAAAATAGTGGATTATATTTAAGCAAAAACATGAAGCCCCAAAATAAATAAGATATTGATCTTAACTTGACCCACCTAATAAAATAAATAAGGTATTGATTTTAACTTGAAATACCAAAATCATATAAAGAATGAGAATACATAATATAATGTTATTCAAGGTAGAAGTACAAAAATTGGAATTTGAAGACACTAAACTATTCAAAAATATTAAACCATCAAGATAATAACTTTAGGGATTTACTAATTCATATGAAATAAACATCAAAATAACCATTATACAGAAAAAAAAAGGAAAGGCCACTAATCTAACATCAGCTTAAACTATGATCTCTATAAAGAAATAAGAAAGGCTCTAAGGAAGATGGAGAGAGGGAGATAAAGATTGTTTTTACGATTGCAGGATTGTAGTAGGTCTTTGACACACCGTAGTTTCCTTCTTGCAAGAGAAAGTGGAATGACAATCACCTCCTTCCTAAGCATTCTCATTATCTCTCATCATGTCTTCTCTCCACCGTCACCTCCTTCCTAAGCATTCTCATTATCTCTCATCCTGTCTTCTCTCCACTATCAAGTGTTTTCATTTGTTTTTCTCTCTTTTATTTTAGAAGGAGTCGCCAGCTTGTCGATTTTCATATACTTCCCCCATTCGAATAAATCTCCCTCCCAAACCAGATATGTTTTTCTCTAGTTTTAGGACCATCCTCTCTTCGTCCATGCTCAAATTTGGCTAGGCGGCGAGAGGAATCTAAAAGATTTCTAAAATTGTGCATATAATATGGTGTTGCTGCCCCAAAGACAAGCTAACTAATAACAAAGCATTGCAACGCTATAAACTCGCACCGCGGTGCTGGCCCTGATGCCTATATGTTTTCCCTGACACCTAGGAGTCGAACAAGGATTGAGACTAAATGTCATTTGTGATTTATTTCCCAAAGATGTTTCCTTCAACAAAAGTGACTTATGATGAATGTTTTAGGCCATTTATAAGCACTTGACGATGGAAAATTGATCTACAGTTTTGAAAGTGTCTTCGAACTTGATCTGCATAAAAAATGATGCCATCACATAATACAATTTAATCAAACATGATTTTGCCATTAGCGAGTTTAACCAACGCACGTGAAATCAAACCTTAGAACTCTCACCCTAATTTTACTTTTAAGTGAACTTCTTTTATTATTGTAGTCTTTTTTTTTCACTCTGATCCAATTGTTTGGATAATATTACACACATTTCATTGTATTAATCACTCAACCAATCTCTAAGGGATAATACTCTTTCTCTCTTTATTATTTATTTGATCACATGCTCTTACATATGCATGAAATTTCGAATCAACCATCTAAATGATCAATTTAAAAATAAAAGTTGGGGAATGTACATATATGCCACACAATTCTTATCTATTTTTATATTGATACCTAAACTCTTATCTTTATTTGTATTACAAACACATCAAAAAATCACCAATCTTACTGAAGTGAAATATGCACTTTATGTACATATATTTTAATGTGATTACCATATTAAAGTATTAGATAAATAAATATCATAATTCAAATGTTATAAATACAAAAAGGGGGGTTTACACACGCAGCACCCAACATATAGCAAATTACATTGCAATTTTCAGACTCCGTTAAGTCTGTTAACAAGATCAAGCGATAGCATTCGGCCATGTCAGCAACAGAAATATTGTTCTTTTTAGCCAACCTCATAGCAGCCTCCCAAATCCAAAGTTCTTGTTGTTCTTGCCTTCAAGCTCTCAAAACCCGTCTTGATTCACCTTCGCAAAGCAAGAGCTCTGCGTGCGGACTCCAGTAATGTACTGCCACGTGTATTATATCGGGCCCAACTGGTAAACACCGCGCGGCGAACCGCTCCATTAACATCCGATGTTCTACTTAAATAACCCCTGCAGAATAATTTCAATGACTGCTTCAATAACACAACAATAACTCATCAATAACACAGCACAGTCATTGAAGAGTTATTGCGGCATTATTTGGGACTTATTGGAATTGTTCTGTGGGGGTTATTGAAGTGAAAATATTGAGGTTATTGGAGTTGTTCACTGTGCGGTGTTAATTGGAGGTTGTTGCGGCATTATTGAAGCGATTATTGCAATTATTATGCAGGGGTTATTGCGTTGTTATTGAAGGGTTATTACAGCGTTATTGGAGACTTATTAGGGTTGTTCTACGAGGGTTATTGTAGAGGAACCGCTGAGGTTATTGGAGCAGTTCACCGCACGATGTTATTAGGAGGTTATTGGGGGTTATTGAGGCGTTATTGAAGCAGTTATTGTAATTGTTCTGTGGGGGTTGTTGCGATGTTATTGAAGGGTTATTGCGGCATTATTGGGGACTTATTGGAGTTGTTATGTGGGGTTATTAGAGTGGGCCGATGGAATTATTGGAGTGGTTCATCACACGGTGTTATTGAGGGGTTATTGCGTCGTTATTGAACAGTTATTGAAATTGTTCTGTCGGGGTTATTGCGGTGTTATTGAAGAGTTATTACAGCGTTAATGGGGACTTATTGGAGTCGTTTTGCAAGGGTGATTGTAGTGGAATCACAGAGGTTATTAGAGCGGTTTGTGACGGCATATTACTCGAGTCCGCGCATAGAGCTCGTCCATGGAAAACTTTCTCATTTTTTTTATATAATTAAGGCGCTCTATATGTAAATATAAAGGTTTAGGTGTCAGATATATAAATCCCCCTAAGAAGTTTATGTATATATATAAAAATAGAGGTGCCGCCCGTAAAATTGTTTATGTCATCGCAGCTATTACGTAGATAGAGATAACAAAAATAACATCAAATAAAAAATTACATTCCTGATTACGATCGAGTTATTAACAAAGCAAATCAATTTCCAGTCTCCCTTCATAGCGTTACTTGTTCACACAACATTAAACGTTCTTCATCTTCTTCCTCTCTCTCTCTCTATCTCTTCTTCTTCTTCTTCTCTCTCTGTGTTTCTCTCTCCTCTGTTTATCTGTTTCATGGCTGGTGGAGGAGGAGAAGGAACGAGAGATCTCGATAAGACTCCGACATGGGCGGTTGCTGCTGTCTGCGCAGTCATCATCCTCATCTCCATCCTCCTCGAGAAGATTTTGCATCGTCTTGGTCAGGTATACATCAATCCTGGGAGGGGCTAGAGCGACGAAGGGCAAAATGATATTTCAAGAGAGACAAAACCGATATTTCAGAGAGAGCAAAAAGATCAAATTGGCCTCCTATTATAAGTAAAAATCTAAATTTGAGAGGGGATGGAGACAATTGCCCCCGGAGTCCTAGACCCTTACCTCGGCCCGCCCTGCTCACATAAGATCATTTGATTTATTAATTATAAAATAAAAATATTTTAAATGATGAATTAAGAAAAATATGATCTTGTCGTCAAGGAAAACATGATAATTCTATCTTTTTTTTGTTTTTTTTTGTATTTGATTATATTTTGTGTTATTAATATAAAATTTAATTGCAGTGGTTTACAGATAAGCACAAGAAGGCTCTGAATGAGGCTCTTGAGAAGGTCAAGTCTGGTACGTGAACTTTATCACAATTGATTTATTTTATGTCATATTTTGGGGAAAAACATTACTCCCCGGCATCCGAATGTGCAGACAACGGCATGATTCGACCTGGCATGTGCATCGACATCATCATCTATATAGTGGTTGAATCCACGTTTTATAATTTTTTTGTGTTTTGCAGCTTTGATTAACTATTTAATTTTCGTAAAACCTAGTTCTTTGTTATGCACTAAGCTATTCTAAACCATTGTAATAAAAGTGTAATAGTTAAACTTTAAAGTCTATTTTTCGTGCTTCACCTACTCTTCTTATATATATATGCCATAAGCCTTGACTTTTTGGTGGCGGGATCACTGTAAGTCTCTTCAGATCAAGGGTTCGATCATACCATGACGCAGGGCTCTGAAATTTTAGGCACTTGACGCGGGGTCTCATTATGAGGCCAAAAAGAGCATGGCTTATATATATATATATATATAAGCAAATATTAATTTAATTTATTTGTTTTTTTCTTGCAATTGGATTTGCAATTAAAGATAATTTAATTTTTGGGACAATTTGTTGACAGAGTTGATGGTTCTTGGATTTATTTCACTACTGTTGACATTTGGGCAAAACTACATAGGCAAAATATGCATACCCGAAAGTGTGGCAGATACAATGCTGCCATGCCCGCTTGCTGCTGCAGATGAAGCCAATAACAAGGGAAATAAGAGGCGGCTTCTGTGGAGCTCAATAAAAGAATCTGTTTCTACTCGTAGATCCCTCGCTCAAGCTTCCTCTAACTCTTGCCCTAGTGTGAGTACATCTTTTCAAAAATATATATATATTTTTAATATATTTTTATTTTATTGGAAAGAATTTGGTCGAGGTGGAAATGCTGCACGTATAATGAGCAAATATTACGTGCAGGATCTGAATGTGGAGATCGGAGGTATTGGGGTGGTACATGTCAATACCACTCTAATACGACAAATTTGTACTTAATCAGCATCTATTATGTTTGCATTACGTATAATAGTTATTTGAGTGATTAATTTTAGGAAAATATATTTTTGAAAAAGGAGATTCATTTCTCAGTGTTATGAATTCAAACTAGGGCTATCAAAATAGTTTGTAGTTTATAAATAACTTGTATTCAGCTCGCTCGTTAAGTAGCTCGTGTTTGATTTGTTCACTAAACAAACGAGTCGAACAAAAATAATTTTTTTATTCTCACTGTAGTTTGTTCGTGTTCTACTCTTTTTGGCTCCATCTATGCATGTGTATGTATGTATGTATATATATATGTATAATATTATTTTTAAATAATTTAATTGAGTACAAGGCTATAAAGATTTAAAATTAATTAAGATAGGATAAAAATATATTAAATTCTATTTAAATGAACATTTTAATATAAATAATATAATTTAACTCTAGTCCCTACCCTTAACATCATATGACTGCGTGACTAGGGCTATCAAAATGACTAGTTGTTTGCAGAAAACTCGTGTTTAGGGTCGCTAAGCAAACGAATCAAACACGAACAAATTTTTTTGAGCTCAATATATAAACCCAAGCCTAGACATGCTCAAGCTCAATTCATTTACACTCCTAATTTAAACCATATGCTTTACAATCAACTGTCATAATTCAAAAAAAAAAAATTTCTTTTTTTGCAATCCCAATATGTCTGTTTCATTTTCATTTGTTTAGAAAATATTGGCTGTATTGCATAAATATTCTGGCCACTACTGACTGCAATGTGAACAATTTGTGTTTGCAGGGGAAAATCCCATTTGTTTCTATAAACGGAATGCACCAGCTGCACATTTTCATATTCTTCCTAGCAATCTTTCATGTCATATACAGTGCCCTAACAATGGCTCTAGGAAGACTTAAGGTCAATATTTTTCACATCTTATTGAATCATTTCCTCATAATATTGACATAAATAAACTTCACCTGTGATTGTTTTATGAAGCAGATTAGGAGATGGAAGCAGTGGGAAGAAGAGACACAAACCCTTAATTATGAGTTCTCTAATGGTAACAATTCGTTTTTTGCATAGATAATGAAGAAAAGAGACACATTTCCTTAACAGAAACATTTTCTCATTACATTTTAGACCCTTCAAGGTTCAGGCTAGCACATGAGACCTCTTTTGTGAAACAACACACCAGCTTCTGGGAAAAGCATCCTGTTCTGCTTTATTTTGTAAGCAAACTTTGAACTAAACAAATACTTATGGCAATTATGTAAATATATAAGAATTGAGTAGTATGTATGTTAATTTTTCTAACTTCATATGATAACAGGTCTGTTTCTTCCACCAATTTTTTAGATCAGTTAGAAAGGCAGATTACTTGACCCTGCGTCATGGTTTCATAAATGTGAGCTTTGTAATAAAATGTAGCCTTTAGTTTGTCTCATTAATTGTTCTGGGTGCATAAATTAATTTCTGCTGTGATTTGTAAGGTTCATTTGGCGCCTGGAAGCAAGTTTAATTTTCAAAAATATATAAAAAGGTCGCTGGAAGATGATTTCAAGGTCGTCGTTGGAATAAGGTAAAATGATTGTTTAGCCTGGAAGTTTATGATGTTATACAACAGCGTTTTTTATATGCAGCAGAAATTTATTGCCCCTATGTGTTTTTTTATCTGTTTTTACCCTAATAATAATA